CGAACTCGCAGCGCGCCTTCAAGTACATCACGAGGTCCTCCTCCAGCTGCACATACAGGGGGGTCCCAGGCCTGTCGGTAATGACCTTGAAAGGGATGCCCTTGATGTCGCCCATGGTCGGACCATGTGCCGTCGTTGTGGTGCCCTGAATCTGGTCGTGGTTCGACCTGAATCGTTTCTTCCACGTCCTGGAGCCAGGCGGCGGTAAGGATGTCTTCTCCATTCCGTGAACGCTAAGCTGGTCCAAGGAGGCTATCAATGACGATCTGTATGCGTCATCTCTAAGGCGCTCCAATGTTTCACACATCGATGTGTTAACAAGAGGCCTGATGCCCTTGGAACGCGGATGCCCAAGAAGCTTCGTCACCACATCGCACCTCTTCTTGAGGTGAAAGAATACACAACCGTTTAGCTCCCTGCAATCGTCCAGAACGACTGGCAAAGCCATGTGAGGGGCGCGCACGCGAACAACTTTGTCCACGCACCAGGCCATAGCATCCACCATGTGTCGGATATCGATATCGACGTATTCCTAGAAGCGCGCGGGGGCGCATCTACATCTGGAGCCAAACAAGCAACGCGCGACGTCGAGCGATAGGCGCATGCGACTTTCGACTCACGTGGCGTCGTGAACCGCGTTCCCTGGAAGAACAAACACACGAGGTTTGGAGCCTAAGCGTCTTAAGTAAGTTGTAAGAGGTTTAAGTGTATACGCGGCCCTGGATAAACGTTCTAAGTTTCGAGCTCGACCGCGATTTGGAACTGGGCACGGCGACGGCGATGACGCCGACGAAGCGGACGACGACGACGATTATGTATATTTCGTGGTAACTATTGCAAGAACTCCAAAACTCCATGGGGATCCAACAGTCCATGATCGATGTCGATGCCTCATCTCTACATCGCTCCACTGCTTCGCAAATCGATGCGTGCATGTATGTCTACCTGCTGCGCGCTACTTTCTTCATGGTGGACACCTCGATGGTCGGCGGAGTGGGCCTCTTCGGGGCAGCGGTCGCGACTCTGGGAAGCGTGAGCTCGTCTCCAACGTTCAGAGCCATGACGTTGGTGACTACGGGGGTCTTGGTATCGTACACTTTAGCGTTGCCCACAGATACGGCCACCGAGTGCTTAGTGATGGCGCAATTCGGCTTCGTCGACTCCGTGCTGTCCACGTGCCTGATCTTGAAAGCAAGGCTCGGCGCTTTAGCGCCAGGGTCCGAGAGGGCGAAGGGCACCGCGATCCTCTCATCAGGGCTGGGCACATCGAAGTAGGGGCGATCGCTCTCGCCGCACTGCTTGATGGTCAGAGCCGTCGGCACGATGATCAATTTTTTCGCCTGGAACTTCTTCCTAGAGAAAATGCCCATGTTGGGTTTGCTGACTGCCATCAGATCGCCCCCATCGGCTTCGAATTTCGACGTCAAATATAGCATGGCCATAGCAATTGCTGACTTGATGTTGATCGCGACGAGATCGGTAGATTTAGAAGCTGCGTCATCTGGCCACCCAGCGAGCAACTCCTTCTTGGTTGTAGTAAAGCAGCACTTCTCGATGAACTTTGGAATGGGGCACCGAATAACGATGTGGTGCAAGGGGCCCTTCTGCATCACCTCCCGAATCCGAACGCCATCCTCCGACATCGGAGCTATCTTCCACGTTTTCCCTTAGATCGAAGGTGCAAGGGCACAACTCATGCACAGGGGGGCTAATACATGTAAGAGTTTTTATGTGGCGTAGAGGGGTGACGGGTCCAAGGTGTTTGAGGGGGTTAGGGGGAAACCACTGAAACTGGTAAACCACCCGCCGCTCGGCCGCGCCATTGCACCTTCATCGTCCTTCTTCAGCTCGATGGTGTCATCAACCCTAAACCCTCTCTGCCCCAAGATGCAGATGTTAGCGTTCGCCAGCTCCCCCGTGCTGGCGTCGCACTGCAGCATGCCACTGAAGGGGGTCTGCTTGACGGAGTCCCCATCGACACCGCTGTCGTGCTGGGCCGACTGGCAGGTATACGGATTGTCGACCTCGATGGTGCCATCTTGTTTTGCCTTCAATGCCTCGATGCACTCGTGAGCGACGCACTCGATGTTTGCGCATCGCTCATCCACCTTTTTCCCTAACAACACCATTGCCATCAACTGGTCGGCCTTACCTATGATCGGAATGCGTTCAATCGTATCGATATCGATCTGCCTGGAAACGCTGTGAAGATGCCGCAAGGCCTTCTCTGCTGCCATCGCTTTGGGCCTCGCCTCCGTGCTGGCGAAGAGGGACGCGATCTCTGAGCGGGTCACAAACCTGCACATTCGACTCTGCACGGGCTCGGGGGGGCCGTTCACGTGAGCCTCGACGACGGCCATTGCCAGGTGGGGCATCATCTCCGTCGCCGCGAGCTTTGCCTTGCACAATGTCTCGAACACGCACCCGCCCACCAGGCGCCCAGCGGGCGCGCACTTTGACACGAACTGCACGAGGTCCTTGATGAACTGGCCCTGGGACCCCCCGCCATATTTCGCCACGAAGTCAGCGCATGCGTCGATATCGTCAACGTACTTCGATTCCGATTTGCTCGCCTCGGTCTTCACCCCCGCCCAGTCGATTACGGACCCGTCGCGCCCCTACTCGGATGCAATGGCCTGGATGTGAAGCAAGAGCTCGAAATGCGTTTCTTCACTCTGCACCTGGCCCGTCGCCTGCTTTGCCGACTGGATCAAACCTGGAAGTTTTGGCCAGCGTTCCTCTGCCTCCTTTTTCACCATCAACCACCTCAACCCAGTGTCAAGTGCCTTTTCCAATTGTTTATCTTTGCTTTGGAACTGCCCCGTGTTGATGCGACCGTCGATGTCGGACAACGTTTTCTCCTTCGTCTCAATTCTCTCTAAGCAAGCCACCAGGAACTGATTTGCATGCCCAGAGCTCACGCTCCCTGCGATAATCGATTCGGGCGGGGATTTGCCAAACAGATTCGACGATCTCTGAAACCCCTGGGTATACTGTGCAATCGTGCCATTCTTATCTTCGGTGCAAACTGAACCAGCCGTTGCCGCGAAACTAAATTTGTTCCTCACGATCTTAGCCCCCAGCCTGTGCACCTCGTAAGCCTTGATGCCCAATCCATATCTGTTTGAAGGGTGGATGCCTACTTGGTGAGGTTTTAGATACAGCCACACAGCCATACCAATAGAAATTAACTTCTCGAGGATCACATCTACCATTCCGACAGGCCCATCTGCTGACGACAGTGCTTCCTCGATGAGGCCGTCCAGGGCATCGACCCCGTCAGCGAACGACGCCATCGCGCGCTCGATATCGAGGACGCTGCAGGAAATCGAGGTGCGACTCTCCTGGCGCTACGCGGCTGCGGGTCCGACTTCGATGGCAATCGAGTTCGATGGCATCGATTTCGATGGCAAGAGGAAGGGGGGGGGAGGAGGAGGAGGAGGAGGGAGGAGGAGGAGGAGAGGGGGAGGAGAAGGATACTGATAAGGAGAGGAGGGAGAAGAGAGGAGGGGGAGGAATAATGACTGGCACAAGGAGGGATAGGAAATGATAAGGGGAAGGAGGAAGAGGAGGATGCCGACGACGAGGAAGAGGAGCTGGAGGCGAGGAAAGAGGGAGGACGAGGGCGGTCGCGGTGGGAGGGGGCCGCGGTGCCTGGCACTTGTTGCACGGAGGGGCGGGCGGCGCGCGCGCGCGCCGCTCGCCGCTCCGACCGACCAGACCGATCCCCCCCCACCCCTATATACCCCCACCCCCGCAACGATAATCGATGTCCTCTTCGATCATCGATGTCCTGCACCGCGGTGGGGCGAGGAGGGGGGGGGGGGGGGCGAGGCTCTCTAAGGCAAGAACAATCCGCGACCGTGGGAGTTACCATCATCGTCGTCGTCATCATCACCATCATCACCGTCATCATCGTCGTCGTCATCATCATCATCGTCACGTCATCATCACCATCATCCTCATCTTCATCATCATCATCATCATCATCATCATCATCTCTCTCTCTCTCTCTCTCTCTCTCTCTCTCTCTCTCTCTCTCTCTCTCTCTCTCTCTCTCTCTCTCTCTCCTCTCTCTCTCTCTCTCTCTCTTCTCTCTCTCTCTCTCCTCTCTCTCTCTCTCTCTCTCTTCTCTTTCTCTCTCTCTCCTCTCTCTCTCTCTCTCTCTCTCTCTCTCTCTCTCTCTCTCTCTCTCTCTCTCTCTCTCTCTCTCTCTCTCTCTCTCTCTCTCTCTCTCTCCCCCCCCCCCCCTTTTCTTCTCACTGCAAGGGGCGCCCTTTCCTGTAATGGCTGCTCACGTCAATCGCGAGCGTAACAAGATCGTTTCACGATCCGTTATTTTGCGGGGGCAAGGGTGGAACAGTTCACGAACGTAAAGTGCACGCGCCTTCAGCGCCTCCGCTATGCGTTTCTTTTCTTTCTTGTCTGCATCGCGACAAAAAAGAAAAGTTTTTGCGTTTTTTTTTTTTTTTTTTTTGAAAAAAAAGTTAAACAACCACGAAAAAGGACTCGCATGTGTACACGCGCGGCGCGCCTAAGTCGTTCTCCGAACAGGGTTGCTCCTTGGGAAGCGTCGCTGGCCGCCCGTCTGCGATCTTCCGTTGACGTTTCGCTCAAGCTTTTTCCCACGGGGCATGGTGCCCCCGTGGGCGGTCGGAGCCCTCACCCAGCTGTCGCATGGCGTGGCCTCCTTGTTGACTGTACATGCTAATCTGTAGCCCCTTGGTCCAAGTAAAAACCATCGACATGGTAGCGGAGCGGCGTGGGTTCATTCCCGCTGCCGCTTCCCTTCCAGCCACCCGCGGCGGGCGCGCGCGCCCGCGATAGGGCGGCGGCGGAGGCCGCGCCCTGGCGGCTGGCAGCGGCGAGGGCCGCGCCAGCCGACCCTTCATAGCCCAGCACGCCGCCTAAGAAGAAGAAGAAGACTAAGCGTGGCTCGAGGTCGAACAAAGCAGACATCTTGAGGAGTAGGAAGTTCGACGAGAAGCTCGATCTGAAGTATGGAGGAGATCGAGAGACGCTTCCAGGCGCTCGAGGGAGCGTTGCAGGCTGCAGAACAACGGGTGCAGGCTGCAGAGGAGCGCGCCCTGGCGGCGGAGTCAGCAGCAGCGAGCGCAGGCGCCGCCGTGAACAGGCCCGTGGCAGCGGCGAGGGCCGCGCCTCAGGACCTGGTGGACACTCGGCTTCTGGCGAAGCCGAAGGCGTTCGGAGGCAGCGAGGACGAGTGGCCAGGGTGGAGCTTCAAGATGCTCGCGTACCTCGGGGCCCTCGACGAGCAGATGGCCAACGAGCTGACAGCAGCCATGACGTTCCCGCTGGAGGAAGTGAGGAACGCGAGACTCCTGGGGGAGGGAGCGAGTCAGCGCAGTCGCCAGCTGTACTTTATCCTCGTCCTGCTGCTGGAAGGAGCCGCACTGCAGCTCATCAAGCCAGTCGGCGTCGGAGAAGGTTATCGGGCGTGGAGGACGTTGCAAGACATGTACGAGCCCGACAGACCAGGTCGCCATGCAGGACTGCTGCAAGAGCTGATCGCGTTCCAGTTCCCAGAGGACAACATCGTGGGGATGCTGGCGGACTGAGAGCCAGAGCCACGAGAGGATTGGGGACAGGATCAAGATGGCGATCCTCCAGAGGGGGATTCAGGACGAGGCTCTTCGAGCGCATCTGGTCCACAATGCGTCGAGGCTAGTCACGTGGGAGCTCATGCGCAACGAAGTGCACATGGTGATCTCGACGAGGAGCGCCATCGCAGCAGTGCCGCCACCAGTTCCGATGGACACGAGCGCGGTGGAGAAGGCGAGGCGCGAGGCGGCGTCGAAGGGCAAAGGAAAGAAGGGCAAGGACGGCAAGGGCAGGAAGGGCAAGGGCAGCGACAACTCCACGGACCAGAAGAGCCAGGCGGCCAAAGACAGGGCCGAGAAACGATGCTTCCACTGCCACAAGACAGGTCACGTCAAGAGCGAGTGCAGGAAGTTCCTCGCAGAGCAGAAGAAGAAGAAGGGCACCAACGCCGTCGAGCAGGAGTCGAAGCCGACGGGAGCTCCACCAGCGGCGAGCGCCGCGGGGAGCGCGGCGCCAGTGATGGCGATCGCGACCGAAAGCGGGGCAGAGCCATTGTGGTGCCTCGCGATCGAGCTGGGAGAGCTGGGAGAAGGGCAAGAATCATCATCGAGTGGAGCAGCAGCGACACCCTCAGCCCCAGCAACGACAGCGATCCACCGTCGTTCGAGCGGGCCGTCAAGCGAGCGCGATCAGCCGAGGCGGCCATCCTTGGTCGGAGGCAGCCCGATCGAGCGGCTGAGCCCGCCAGAGGCGTCAAGCGAGCACGCGCAGCCGAGGCAGCCATTCTTGGTCGGGGCCAGTCCGATCGAGCAGCTGAGCCAGCCAGGGGCAGCAAGCGAGCACGAGACGTTCGAGAGCAAGGAGATCATCGGTATCAATGAGCACTGGGTCATGGTGGACTCGGGTGCTGCACGATCGGTGTGTCCGCCGAGTCACGGGGCCCACGAGACGCTCAGAGACCTGAGCGAGCGCATCAGGCTGGTCGGAGCGAGCGGCGACGACATCCCGTGCCACGGCGAGCGCTTCGTCACGTACACGAAGGGCGGGCACAAGATCGGGGTGGACTACAAGGTCGCCGACGTCAAGAGGCCAGTGCTGGGCGTGTCGCAGGCGGTCGACAAGGGTACGTCGTGGGTATTCACGCCGAGCGGGAGCTACATGATCCCGAAGCCGATCGAGTTCTCGGACCCAGACGCCGTGCCGCTGGTCAGACGCAACGACCTGTTCTACCTCAAGATGGACAGGTACGGTGAAGGCGTCAAGAACTCGCTCGTCATGCCGGTGCGGGGCGAGGAGCCAGGAGGCGAGCCTGGCGGCGCATCAGCTGCGTCCAGGGCAGCGGCGAGGGCCGCGCTCCAGGGCGGCAGCGGCGGAGGGGCCGCCGCGACTCGCGCTCAGGCCGAGGCGAGCGAGCCAGCAGCGCAGGCAGAGCTCGAGGAGTCCGTGCCAGTCCGAGTCAAGAAGGATCCAGTGAAGCCAAGCTTGGCCGAGCAGAGGACGCACGAGCTGGTGCACATCCCTGCGAGGTCCTGGTGCTGGGTGTGCGTCAGATCCAAGTTCACGGACGACCCACACTACAAGGCTGGGCACGAGCGCACGGGCGACGAGGTCCAGATCGACTACTACTTCCTGGGCCAGCTGAGCATCCTCAACATGGTGCACATGAACTCCCAGGCTATTCATGGCATCATGGGGCCGAAGGGTACCGACGCCTACATGATCAAGACAGCGGTCGCCACCATCGAGAACTGGGGGCTGGATCGCATCGTGCTGAAGCACGACCAGGAGGCGTCGATCACGGCCCTGGCGAGGGAGATCAAGGCTCAGAGGAAGGCGCCCACGATGATCGAGTCGGCTCAGCGGGCTAACCATCAGGGAGTTGGTGGAGTGGAGCGCGCCAACGAGGAGCTCGGCAAGCAGATCAGGGCGCTGCTGTTCTCGGTGGGCGACAACTACAAGCGGGAGCTCCCAGCCGAGCATGGGCTCCTACCTTGGCTCATTCGGCACGCTGGCTGGCAGCTCAACCGCTTCACGATGCACGGCAACGGCAAGACGACCTACGAGGTGCTCAAGGGGAGGCCGTATCGGGGCGAGCTCGTCAACTTCGCGGAGTGCGTTTGGGCGAGGGACCCCACGCCGACCTCCAAGCTGCAGCCTCGGTGGCACGCGGCGGTGTGGCTGGGCAAGACAGAGGTCTCGGACGAGCACCTGGTGGCGGGTCCGACGCGCACGACAAGGGTACGCACGGTAAGACGGCGGCCGGAGGGTGAGCGGTTCGTGCTGGAGGAGCTGGACAAGTTCGCTGGGGTGCCGTGGGACATGCACCGAGCTCCACAGATCGGCATCGTGCCGACGGGAGCGCCCCAGGTGGAGCCGAACCAGCAGCGGCTGCTGCCGCCACCTCCGCCACCGCCAGTGGTCTTGCCAGCCGCGGGCCCGGAGGCGCTGGTGCCACCAGCGATGGTCGGGCCGGCGCCGCCCACGGGGCCAGGAGGCGCAGGGCTGAGATCGACGTACATCACGAGAGCGCTGATCGACAAGTACGGCTGGACCCCCATGTGCCCGAGGTGCGTCACAGGCATGGGATCGCACAGCGAGGAGTGCCGGAAGAGGATCGAGAACGAGCTGCGCAAGGAGGAAATGGCCAGGGCAGCGGCGGAGGCCGCGCCCTCGTCGGCAGCGGCGGGGGCTGCGCCGACGCCGGCGGCGGCTGGAGCCGCGCCGGGGCCAGCGGCTGGAGCTGGAGACGGCAGGCCAGGATCGTCCGGGGATGCCAGCATGGCACCTCGCGATGACCAGGGCGAGGCTTCGGCGAAGAGGCCGCGCCAGACAGCGGCGATCACAGTCGGGTCGCTCGCGGTCGGGGCCTTCGTGGAGATCAATCCCTGCACGTATGAGGGCCTAGACCAGCAGTCTCACGAGGAGCTCGAGACGGTCACGGAGATCGAGAGCTGCGAGCCGCTGGAGATCGGGATGTTCGAGGTCGGCTCCGTCGAGCCGTCGGCGATCACGGTCCTGCCAGACGCGGAGAAGCACGTGTACGACGCGAGGAGCGGGAAGGAGCTCCCCAGGGACCTGGTCAGGCGCGGACGCGAGGCCGAGATCGAGGAGATGCGGCGACACGGCGTCTTCGAGGAGGTCCGCGTGGCCGAGAGTCGGGGCAAGGTGGTGCGTTTCAAGTGGGTCGAGGACCTGCGCACCAAGGACGGCGCCCCCTTCGTCCGTTCCCGAGGCGTCGCCATGGAGATCAACACGCACGGCCGAGAGGACTGCAACGCGGGCACGCCGCCGATCGCCATCGTCAGGGCGATCGTCTCCTTGGCGGCTACGAAGAAGGGTCGGAGGCATCTCTCGGTGCATGACGTGCACGTGGCGTTCTTCCACGCCGACCTCGACGAGTGGATCGTCGTCATCCCGCCTCCAGGACTCAGGAGAGACGGGTACGTGTGGCAGCTCCGGAAGGCCATGTACGGCACGCGCAAGGCGGCACAGGCTTGGCAGGAGTACGTGGCCGGGGTGTTCAAGAAGAACAACTGGACGCGCATCGCAGTGGCGGCGGGCGTGTACCACGAGCCTCTCTTGGACATGACCTCGGCGATCCACGGTGACGACATCCTGACCGAGGGCGAGGAGGAGTCCCTGGATGTCCTGGACCAGCAGCTGATGGCGAGCATGGACGTCAAGTGCATCGGTCGTGTCGGGCCGGATGGCGTCCGCGAGCTCCCGTACCTCAAGCGCAAGATCAGGTGGACAGGCAAGGGATTCGTCTGGATCGGCGACACGAAGCACGTGACGAGATGCGTGGAGCTGCTGGGCCTTACGGAGTGCAAGCCAGCGGACACGCCTGGGAGCAAGGCCACGGGCAAGAGCGTCCGGGAGGCGCTGGACCCACTTCCACACGACGAGGCGAAGCTCTACCAGCAGGTCGCGGGGCTCGTCAACTACGTGGCGGTAGACAGGCCAGACATCCAGTTCGCAGTGAAGGTGATCCTCACGGACATGGGGAAGCCCACAGTCATCAGCATGCTTAGGCTGAGGCGGTGTGTGCGGTATCTCCACGGTCGGCGCGAGCTCGGGTGGTTCTACGAGAAGCAGGAGATGCCGAAGGAGGTTCTCTACGAGACGGACTCGGACTGGGCAGAGGATGAGATCACGAGGAAATCGACCAGCTCCGTGTATGGCTTCTTCGGCAGCCACCTCCTGGAGACCCAGGTGGCATCGCAGCCCGTCGTCGCGCTCAGCAGCGGAGAGGCCGAGTTCTATGCCATCGGCCGAGGCGCGGCGAGTGCGATCATGATGCGGCAGTTCTATCAGCAGTGTGGCATCGAGGTCGCGTCGAAGGTTCACAGCGACTCGAATGCAGGCAGGGCGATCGCGACACGGATTGGCAGTGGCAAGGTACGGCATCTACAGATACGGGACCTGTGGGTGCAGGAACGAGTCAGGCTCGGCGAGTTGCAGCTCGGGCGAGTCGACACGGAGAGCAACAGGAGCGACTTGGGGACCAAGCATCTGGACGGCAAGCGGGTGCTCAAGTTGCTGGAGATGTCCAACCTGCGGCTTCTGACCAAGGGGCTCGCCGCAGGTGTGGGCGTCACTTTCGCGGAGGCGGCCGAGCATGGAGACAAGCAGTGCTCTGCAGCCGCCGACGACGAGGTCGAGTCGAACATCGGCTCGATCGTTCTCGCCATGATCATGTTCATCATCGTGCTGGTGCTCGTGGTCAAGGGCGCAGTTATGTGTACGAGGGGGGCGGTACAGCTCTTCTCATCGAGGGCGGCGAGTGCTGCCCCACCAGCGGGAGCGGCGAGGGCTGCCCCGCAGGCCGACGACACGGCGAGGCCCGAGGCGTCGTCGAAGGACGCGCCTGAAGGGAATGTCGTTTCTCGGGCGGCGGCGATGGCCGCGCCTGAGCGGGTCGCCACAGGGCGAGACCTCGGTTCGGAGTACCTCGGGAAGATGCTGGCTGAGGCCACCGTGGCAGAGCTCAAGGAGGAGCTCAGGTGGCGGAAGCTGCCAGTGGGCGGCTTGAAGGCGGACCTCATCGTCCGTCTGACGAGGGACGGCGGCCAGCACATGGCCAGCAGTGAGGGGCTAGCTGCAGCGGCATGGGCCGCGCGGCTGGTCCCAGGCAGGGTGCCCATCCGAGCGTTCCGCTCGGACGCTAGCCTAGGCGCGCACCTAGGCGCGCTTCTCAGCAGCACGGGGTAGGTCCGCGCCGAAAGAAAGACCCTTTGAGGGCCACCCAAGACGGGTGAGGGCGCGGCCAGAGGCCGCTCCTTTGAGCCGAGGGCGCGCGTCAGGCGCAGGCGCGCGGGAGCCACGGCGGGGACGCCCGCTTTGGCTTGAGCTTGAGCCTTCAGAAGGGAGGCTCGAGCCGCAGTACAGAGAAGATGCAAGGCGATGCGCTCGCCTGCATCTTGGAGGCGTGTTGACTGTACATGCTAATCTGTAGCCCCTTGGTCCAAGTAAAAACCATCGACACTCCTGGTTGAGTCGGGCACCGCCGCCGCCGCCGTGCCCGGCGTTGGAGTGCCCGGACTGCCACTGCGCCTGCCCCGCGGTCCCGGCCTGCCCGGCCTGCCCAGGGGCGCCGGCTCCCCAGTGCCCGCAGCAAGAGCGGGGGCGCGCCTCCACGGCGCCCGCAGCCCCGACGGTGGCGGCGGCCTGGGGGACGACCGTGGCGTCGCTCGTGATCGGCATCGCGCTCGGCGACCTCGGGAGGTGGAGCGATGGCTGCTGCTGCCGCCGACGCCGTGCCCGCGCTGGAAGGAGTGGACGAGGTGGCGTACCTCCTGTATGCGGTCCCGGGGGCGCCCCTGTGGCACCAGCGCTGGAACTTGGGTCGGGCGGTGTCCTGTCCGAGTGACGCGATCCTGGTCTCGCCGGACCACCAGGTGCAGTGCGAGGTAGTGGACGGGACGTCGGCCGACATCAGCGCGGTGCGGTGGGCGCCCGCCCTCGCCCCCAGGCCGCCGGGCGTCGTGCGGGCCTACCGCTTCGCGAGCCCCCCGACCGCGGCGGAGGTGGCGGCCTGGCTCCCCGATGCCCAGGCCGAGGCTCGGCGCTGCTTTGCTCGGCGCCACCCGGGCGTGGCCGTGCCGGCGCCCGTCTTCGAGGCGTGGCCCTGGGCTGCGCCGGGGGCGCCGGCTGCCGCCGTCGGGCCCGCCCCTGCCGCGGTGGCCCCCGCCGCCGGGCCGCCGGGCGGAGGTTGGGTCGTCGTGCCAGCGGGGGGCCCGCCGCCCGCCGCGGCGCCCGTCGCCCCGGCACCCGCGCCCCTGCCGGGCGGGGTGATGCGCCGAGGAGGTGCGGCCGCGGCGGGTGCGCCGGCCGCGGGCGGCGGGGAGGCGGGCGGTGCGCCGGCGCCCGCGGGGGCAGCGCTCGCAGCGGCCGTAGTCGGGGCGGCCCGACCCCTGGTGCTGGCGGGAGGCGCTGGCGACGCCGCCCCCGCCCCTGTGGGGAACTGGCGCGTCGCCCAGGAGTGGAGGGGGTACCACTACGGCGATGTGATCACCCCTCCAGCGGGCTTCGCTGGGGCGGGCACTCCCGCCCGCGGAGTCGTCCTGCTCGCAGACGGGTCGTCTCTCTTCGTCGAGTGGGTGGCCATCGGTGGCGAGTCGGACTTCGCCGACCGGGCGGTGGCGCCCGACTGCCGCCTGCTGCCGGTCCGCCTCGATCGCGCTGGCAGGCCCTTCCGGACGCTTGAGAACCTCGTAGAGAGCTGCCGCCAGGAGCACCTCCCCGACTTCATCGCGCCGAGGACGACCATGTGGTGCCTCGAGCACCTCGCGGGCGAGGGCCGCTCTCTCGAGTCCCACTTCGAACGCTTCAAGAAGCTGTGCGGCCTCCAGGACTCCCAGTGGGGCATGGAGGAGTACGCCAGTGTGATCAGCTACCTGAAGGCGTTGCCCCAGCACGATCAGGTGGACGCGTCCAACATCCTGTCGGTGGAGATGATGTTCCGCCGGCTCCAGACGATCGAGTACTGCTACAGCGACAAGTTGCGCGAGAGGACAGCGGGCTCCTCCGCGGGGAGGCTCACCGCCGACGAGCAGGCCGCCTTCGGCGCGACGGCCCGAGCCGAGTCGAGGCTCATGGTGTCGCCCGCGCTGCTCGAGAGCGCCAAGCAGGAGCTGGAGCGCGACGCCTCGCTGGCCAAGAGCCTCCTGAAGGCGCGCGAGGCTCGGGAGTCGCTGGGCAAGCGGAGGCAGGGCCAGGGGAAGGACCAGGGGTGATGCTCGACCGCCCCCCCCAGACGTCCCTCAGGTCTGGTGGGGGGGATCCCGACATGACTGGGGATGCTCGGCACGCCGTTGCGCCGCCGGGGAATTTTGACAGGAACGTGGGGAGGGATCTGCTACCTTTCCCCACGGAGCTGCTCAACTCGTCGGAGCCACCAGCACCTGGGCTCTCGCGAGTTCGCCGACAGAGAGTCGGCCGTCGGCAGCGTCGTCACGCCGACGTTCTTCGGTGCTTGGAAGGTCTCAACACGATATACGGCCGCCGTGAAGGGGTACCTGTACCTGCTGATCTGAGCCTCGGGCAGCAGCATGTGCTCGATCACGTTGAGTCCTCTGTCTCTTTCCTGGGGCCCCCCCCAGATGATCTTTCGCAGGCGGCAGCCCTCCAGGCGCTGCGCCTCGGCCTCCCCTACGACGCAGGGGGAGGCCCTGTGGGCTATGAAGCCTCCCGCGTGTCCCTCCCGGCAGCTGGGTCGGTCCCGACTCCGCTCGCTCGGCTTTGGGGATCCGGCGGGGAAAGTACTGTTGCACGCTTTGCTGAGTCGCAAGTTTTGCCCATCGACGTGGCACGAATGAGGTTAAAGGACTCGGGGCCCTTTCGGCCCTACGGCGACCCTCGCCTCCACTCTCCCTCTTTGTACGGCGAATTCATTCAGCGATTGGTCGAGGCTGGCGTAGCCGAGCTGACGCTCGAGCGACCTACCGAGGTGGTGGATTGCTTCTTTGTAAAAAAGGGGGGCGGCAAGCAGCGGCTGGTCGTCGACTGTCGGCGGTCTAATCAACATTTCGAGCCGCCCGCCCCTGTCAGCCTAGTCTCTGGCCACACTCTCTCCCAGGTGCATGACGACGACTCCCTCGGTCAGCCCGTGTTTATTGGCCAGGTCGATATAAAAGACGCTTTCTATCGCATGGAGCTCCCGGAGGGGCTCCGCCAGTATTTCGGGCTGCGAAGAATTCGGGCCTCGTGGGCGGGCATCTCTCAAGTCCAGGGAGTCCGTGTGTCCCCGGGGACCTGGGTCACCCCTCGGATGCGAGCCTTGCCCATGGGCTGGTCCTGGGCCCTCTGGTGGTGCCAGGCGATCCACGAGCGGGCTGCCGAGGAGGGAGGATCCCCTGCTGCAGCCCGACTCGCGGACGGCTCCCCCCCGCCTCCCCTCGCCTCCTCCCCTCACGCACAGTACGTAGACAACTATGTGGTGATTTCGACGAGCGAGGCGGTTGTCCGCGAGCGCTTGGCAGGAGTGTCCCGGGCCCTCGAGTCTCGCGGGCTGCCGCTGCATAAAGAGTCTGTCTCATGCGATCGGGCCGTCGTGCTGGGGTGGGAGATCGATTGCCTTCGGCGCGCCTTCCGCCCGACCCCCGAGCGTGTCTGGAAGGCTCGTCTCGCTATTCGGGGTCTTTTGGCACGGGCCTCGGTCTCTGGAGGGGACTTGGAGCGCCTCCTGGGCCATCTGTGCTTCATCGGCCTGTGTAGGCGAGAGTCGCTCAGCGTGTTCAAATATTGCTACAGGTTCTGTGAGGCCGCGCGGAGATGCCCAGCCCGGGGGCCTCGGGCCCTCTGGGCCTCTGCCAGGAAGGAGCTCGACATCTGGGACCGTATCGCCCCGCTCATCTGGGTCAACACCTCTGCGGGTACCTGTCCAGACGTCGTCGTGGTGGACGCGTCGCCGCGGGGCCTTGGGGCCGTTCGGGGGCGACCGCCGGTGGCCCTGGTCAAGGAGGCCTGCCGTCACTCGGAGCGTGCTGGGGCTCGGGAGGCGGCCCGGGAAGGGCGGCCACCCCGTGAGCGCGCTTTCGCCGCGGCCGCTGCGCAGCTGCACGGAGGTGAGGGGGAGGCCGACAGGCGGATCCTGATGGAGCTCGTGCGACCCCAGTCTCGACACCACCGTCCCGAAAGCGAGTTCGACCGCCGGCACACGAAGTCGTTCGAGGACGTCCCCTTGGACCTCTTGAGGGCCCCCTGGAGGGTGTGCGGGAGGCAGAGGTGGAAACGGGCCTCGACGTCCATGCCGGCCCTGGAAGCGGAGGCGCTTTTGTACGGGGTGCGCCACCTCCTGAGGTCCGTCGCCAACTTGGGCTCGAGGCTGCTCGTGATTGGGGACTCGATCTCCGCCTCCCTGGCCGCCACGAAGGGACGGTCCTCTTGCGATGGCATGCTCTCGGTGACCCGCCGGCTGGGCGCCCTGCTGCTGGGGACCGGCAGCCTCCTGCGGTCGCGCTGGATCGCGTCGGAGCTCAACCCTGCGGACGGACCCTCGCGCGGCCGACCGGCGCCGAGCGACCCGCTTGCCGGCCTGCGGCGCGAACTCGCGACCGCCGCCGACGAGGGCCGCGATGCTGGCGCGCGGCAGGTCCGACAGATCGAGGACCCCCGCGGGCCGCCAGCCGCCGCCGCCCAGTTCGGGGTCGGCCTCCCGCCCGGCCTTGGCCCCCCTGGAGACTGGGGGCCTGCGGGCGGCCGCGGCGCGGGCGCGGGCGGAGCGCGCTGCCATGCTGGCTGCGGCGCGGGCCCCACAGGCCCAGATGAGCCTGCTTCGGAGGGCCTCGGTGTCGGCGAAGACGCAGGCCCAGTACTCTCTCTACCTGGCCGCCCTGCACAGGTTCTGCGACTCCCGCGGGGACCACCCGATCACCGAGGAGGAGTGGGACATCGCCACCGCGGGCCGTCGTTCATGGAGGGCGGCTCGTTGAGCGCGGGCGAGAAGCTCCTGGCGTCGGTGCAGTGGGCCGAGCCGCGCCTCGGCAGGCTGGGGGGCGGGCGGATGCCCGTCTGTCGGCAGTGTCTGCGAGGCTGGCGCCGCGCTGCCCCAGCAGGGGGCCGCTTGCCCCTGCCCTACGACGTGGTGGCGCTCCTGGCGTGCTGGATGATCTGCCAGGGGCTGAGACCCCACGCGCTGGCCATCCTCATGATGATGGAGCTGTACTTGCGGCCAGGAGAGCCATTCCTGCTACGGGGCCGCGACGTAGCGGCGGGGTCCCTCAGCGGAGCTCGCGAGTGGACCCCCACATCGGTCCTGCTCCACCCGTTCGAGATGCGGACCCCGTCCAAGAGCCAGGAGTTCGACCGGACGATCGTCCTCGACCTCGACCGGCAGGCGGCGCTCGCGGACGCCCTGGTGCAGCTGGGGCTGGAGCGCGGCGCGGGGCCCTTGCTGGATCTGTCGCCCAGCGCCCTGCGCCGGGCCCTGGACGAGGCCGCGGCTGCCTGGCGCCTGGGGCCCCTCGGGCCGCTCGACGCCTACCGCTTCCGGCACACGGGGGCGAGCGTCGACTTCGCGACCGGCGCCCGGCGGCTGGAGGAGATCCAGCGCCGCGGGCGGTGGCGGTCCGCGCGGAGCCTCCGCCGCTACGAGCACGGGGGGCGACTGGCCGACCTCTTGCGCCGCCTGCCGCCCGACGTGCAGCGGGCGGCCGCGGCGGCCGCTCGGGAGCTCCCCGACGCGCTGCGGGGGAGGCGGATGCCGTCTTTGGGCCGCTGAGGGCGCCGACCATCGCCGTGTTCCTCGAGCTGTTCGCGGGCTCGGGCCACCTGTCCGACGCCGTGGAGCGGGGAAATGTCCCCACATTGCGGTGGGACATCCTGTACGGCCCCGCCTACGACCTGCGCGACCCCAGGAGCGCCCGTCTCATTCGAGGCTGGATGCGGGCGGGGCTCGTCTGCGGCCTGCATGCTGGCTTTCCTTGCGAGACCTTCTCGCGGGCGCGTGACCGCCCCAACGGCCCTCCGCGGCTCCGGTCCCAGGAGCACGTCTGGGGCCTGCCCAGTCTCCATCCCGAGGGCGCCGATTTCCAGAAGGTGAAGTGGGGCAACCTGTGCGCGCGGCTCACGATATCCTTCTGCGTGCTGTGCTGCCAGTGTTTCGTCCCCTGGTCCGTCGAGAACCCCGCGCTGAGCTACGCGCGGCAGCTGCCGCCGATGCTGCCCCTGCTCCAGCGCCGGCAGGTCACGACCCAGGTGATCGAGCACTGCCGGTTCGGGACGCCCTGGAGGAAGAGCACCAGGATCGCAGCGTTTCTCCTCGACTTGGCACCCTTGGCCAAGTTCAGGTGTACAGGGCCCGTCTGTGTCCTCACTGGGCAGCGGCATCAAGAACTGTCCGGCAAAGACGCATCGGGCAGGTTCCGCACTAGATTGGCGGAAGCATATCCTCGCAAGCTCTGCAGCACCCTCGCCAGAGCCTATGCCGACGAGAAAGCCAGGTCCCGGGCAGGTCAGTTCTCCGTTTTGATAGGCCGTGCTGCTCGAACGTCTTCCGACGCTTGATTAACAATTGTTGTATTTTCGGCGTTGCCAGTCTAGCTGTGCATCTTGCAGAATTTTGGATGTGTCCGAAATTTCAGTTGATGTCCGTGGCCGCCTACGGATCGGAGATCCTTGGCGGCAGCCTCTTGCGTCGGCAGCGTCTCGAAGCCTCGCCACCTGGCCTGCCCGAGCTGGAAAAAGGGAGCATAAGTCGTTCTCCGAACAGGGTTGCTCCTTGGGAAGCGTCGCTGGCCGCCCGTCTGCGATCTTCCGTTGACGTTTCGCTCAAGCTCCCTCCCTCCCCCCCTTGCTTTCACTCTATCTTTGCCAGGATGTGTCCGAAATTTCAGTTGATGTCCGTGGCCGCCTACGGATCGGAGATCCTTGGCGGCAGCCTCTTGCGTCGGCAGCGTCTCGAAGCCTCGCCACCTGGCCTGCCCGAGCTGGAAAAAGGGAGCATCCTTCTTCTCTTCAATCGCGGGGTGCTCGTGCGACCCGTAGAACAGACAATTAAGAGGCAGGGGGACGCGCGCCGCGCCACTGCTGATAAGAGTATCGCAGGCGGCGCGCGTATGCATCGATATCGATATCGACATCGACATATGATTGTGCACGTGCATACATGCGCATGTGCACGTGCGCGCGCGTTATCTACATCGCAATGCGTGAACGCACCTTACACGCGCATATGTGAAAAACTATGTGTGTACGCAAATGAACATATGTAAGCGTATGTGTGAAACGCTGTAGTATATGACTGAATCCCATGATGAATATATGAAAAACCACGCATCGACGATTTACTTTGGACATACTAACTCGGGGCTTATTCGACTTAGTAAGTCGAAATAGTTCGACTTAGTAAGTCGAAATAGTTCGACTTAGTAAGTCGAAGTAGTTCGACTTACTAAGTTGACAACTCCGAGTTATAATTTGACTTATACGTCGACTTATAAGTCGGCTGTCGACTTAGCTTTTAGGTTATAACTCAACTTATAAGCTGGCCTACGTCGATCACCTAAGTTGGTTATGCTAAGTAGGCCTAAGTCGACTTAAAACTCGACTTCGTAAGTCGCCTAAGTCGGTTAGTAACTCACGTCCTCAACTTATATCTAAGATATAACCCGCCGTTCATCAAAGCACTACTGACATCTACATCGACGCCCTGACGATGGCCGCATGCAGCATGGCTGGGGGCACTTTGAGTGAGGCGCCACGATGGGCCCCAGCACGCTGCGCCCCACGACCTCGAAGGAGGGCAGGTGCATTGGGCAGCGCGCCGGGTATCCAGCGCGCGGCAGGGCCGGTCCCATCTTGCGCGCTGCTGCGCTCCGCGCCCAGATCCTGCGCCGCAAGCGCTCGCGCCAGCGCTGACGCCGGCGCCTGCGCCAGCTCCGACGCCGCCACCGACGCCAGCGCACCGAGCGGTGAGCTGCCCGGCGCACGGGTGTTCCAAGAGCGCTCGGCGGCGCCTTCTCCGGCGCCGGCGCCAACGCTCGCGCCGGCATCGACGCCCGCGCCTGCGCCGGCGCCAGCACTGGCGCAAGCGCCTACACCAGCGCCGACGCCAGCGCAGATGCCAGCGCGGGCGCCGGCGCCTACACCGGCGCGGACGCCGCCACCGGCGCCAGCTGCTCGGCGCACTGGTGCCCAAGCGCTGGCGACTACGCCAACGCCGACGCCAGCGCCGACGCCAGCATCAACGCCTGCGCCCGCGCCGGTACCATCGCAAGCACTTGTGCCAACGCCGACGCCAGCGCCGACTCCAGCACGTGCGCCAGTCCCCGCACCGGCGTTGACACCAGCGCCGACACCAGCGCACCGGTGAGCTGCGACACTGGTGCCCCAGGTGCGCGCGCTTGCGTCTACGCCGGCGCCGACGCCAGCGCCGACGCCAGCGTCGACGCCGGCACCGACGCTGGTACCATCGCAAGCGCCTGCGCCAGTGCCGACGCCAGCACTGACGCCAACGCGAGGCCGCTCCTTCCCCCCCTCTTTCTGCTCCTCCCTCCCTCCTCTTCCCCTTTCCCCTGTCCCCCCCTCCTTCCGCTGTTGCGGCCCCCATCCTCTGTCCTCTTCCCCTCATCTCCCGTCGTCGTCGTCGTCGTCGTCGTCGTGGGCGGTCCTGCTTTCCTGCGGCTTGCGGCCCCATCTGGGGGGGTGGCGTCCGATGGTAGCGGCGCGGTGCTCCGCCCCCCCGCCCCTCGCCCCCCGCGTTTCCTCCTTGTGCTTTTCTTTCTCCTCCTGTGTCGATCGGTCGCGCGTGATTTTATTCACGCAGTGTAGACGGGCTCTTTGCCCAGCTCGGGGCGCCCGCCCCTCTGCCCCTCCGTTCCGCGGGGGTGGGCGCCGCTAGCGGCTTCGGCGCGCCGCGATCGTCCGACCCATCCCCTTCTTCAGTGCCCCTTGCTTCCGATTGGGACTGTTAGTGCTGTCCGAGTGTTGGTGGCCCGCCAGCGCGGCCCTTGGCTGCGACCTGGCGCCCATTTGATATCGTTTCTCTGGCGCCCTGTCCCCTTCCCTTCTCGTTTTGTTTCTCTGTGTGCATCTCTCTCTCTCTCTCTCTCTCTCTCTCTCTCTCTCTCTCTCTCTCTCTCTCTCTCTCTCTCTCTCTCTCTCTCTCTCTCTTTTTTTTTTTTTTTTTTTTTTTTTTTTCTCTCTCTCTCTTCTCTCTCTCTCTCTCTCTCTCTCTCCCTCTCTCCCTCTTCCTTTTTTAATGTATTTCTCTTTTTTTTTTTTTTCTCTCTCTCTCTCTCTCTCTCTCTCTCTCTCTCTCTCTCTCTCCTCTCTCTCTCTTCTTTTTTCATTGTTTTTTTTTTTTTTTTTTTTTTTTTTTTTTTTTTTTTTTTCTCTCTCTCTCTCTCTCTCTCTCTCTCTCTCTCTCTCTCTCTCTCTCTCTCTGTCTCCTCTTGCCACCCCTAGATCGGCATTGAAGGTGTGTTTCGCTGGCTGCGCTGAGTGGGGTCGCGCGCGTCTCTCTGCCCCCCCCCTTCTTTCTGCGCCTCCTTCTGTTGCCGTGCTGCATTTCTCTTGGCAGGGGCTAGAGTTTGCAGTCGGCGCGTGGGGCGGCCGAAATGTGGGCGGCTGAGCTACCCTCGCCCCCTCCTCGGCCTCCTCTGCCCCGCCTCTCCCGGGCATTTTCCCCACCTGTCGGGGTGCTTCCAGGCGCGGCCGGCCATCGTGGGCGGGCGCCGGCGCGTAGCGCATTTGCTGGCTGACCCGCGGCGCCGCCCGCGCTGATGCTGGGCGCGGCAAAAAAAAAACTTGTCGGCGAGCTTCTCCAGGGGCAACCCTGCATTGATTCCTGGCCGCCATCACTTTGTCAGCCAGGGTCCGAGGGCGAGGTGCAGGTCGACGAAGGCGCCTCGCCCTGCCCTCGCGCGCCCGTTGCGGCCGCGCGGGCTTCGCGCGATGTTTCCGCGCGTCGGCTGGCCCCCGAGTTGCCGAAGAGCTCCCCCCAGCTGCGCCGATTGGGCTTGCGCGTTAACCCGGGGAGTCTGAGTGGGCGCGGGATGCACCTGGCCTCGCGGCAGCCCGGGGCCAGATCGCGCGCGGCGTCGCCCTTAGGTTCACCAATCGCTGCGACCTGGTCGGCCCCGGGGCGAAGGCGTTTCAAAGGCGGGGCGCGCGGCCTCGGTTTACGTGGGGGCAGCTCAAGTGGCCCCCCCCGCTGAAGCGAGCGTTCGCTCGAGCTTGTGCACTCGATCTCGCGCGCTCGATATCGCCCGGCCTGCGGCGGTCGGACAAGTGAACGCAGCCGGGCCGGCCAACTGCCGCGGTCCGGGCGGGCCGCGGCCCAGCGCGCCCGCGGGCTCAGCAGCCGCGGGGGGCCCTGCCCAGTGGAGGCAGCGGCCTGGCCTTGGCGAGCTCCAGGCAGACGGGCGAGGTCGCCGTCTGGGGCCCGGGGCCAGGGGGCGGGGGGGGTCTCGGCGCAGGTGCCTCGCCAAATCTTGATTGGGGCAACGACCCTCGCAGAGCCAGCGCGCCGCCCCCGCCCTCGCTGGGCGAGCGCCCCGATGGACGCGCCGCTATAGCTCCGACGGAGACGGCCGCCTGAGCGGCGGCCTCGTGCTACGCCGGTGGACCCTCGTCTTGGCGAGGCCCAGTGTCTCAGGAGTTCGCCCGGGACCTGCCCCCGCCGTCGGCCCGGGGAACCGCGCCTTCGCCAGAGGCGGGCGTTCTGGCTGACGGGCCCCGCCGCGCCCGCCTGGCATGGCCTTCTAGGAGAGGCGGGCCGAAGCCGCTCGGAGGCTCCCAGGATGAAGCCCCGAGGCGGCCCTGGCCGAACCGCTGCGCTCGGCGACTGATGCCGGCCGCCCCCCCTTGAAGATGAGCTGCGCGAAGCAGGGGCAGCGGGGGGGCCCCGCCGTTCGATTTGGCCCGAGTCCGATTGGGCCAGCGGCCAGGTTTAGTGGGGCCCCTGGGGGGCGGGGGGGCGGCGGGGCCGGGCGCGGGGCTGGGGCGGGCGGCGATCGGCCGGAGAGACCCATGGTCGGAGGGGATGGAATGGCCCCCGGGATCGCTTGCGCAAGAGGCCCAGACGCAACGTCCAGCGGGCGCCTCAGCGGAAAGATATTAAAGGCAAGACTCGAGACCTGGCCCGAGGACATCGACCGCCTGACAGTTGCCCGCGGCGCGCTCTTCGAGGAAGGTTGCGTCAGAGCCTGCGAGGAGGGGGCGGGGTGTCCCGCGGCAAGGGGGTCTGCAACTCCCGCGGCTATATAGAATGGCGGCTTCAGCCAAGACTTCCCGGGCGACCTGGCCGACCCCAACTACGACGTCCGAGCCTTGCGCGGCCGCCGCGACCTGGATGTCGACTGGGGCGCAGCGCGACAGCGGCAGCAGCAGCAGCAGAACCGCCAGAGCCAGGCAGCTGGGAAGGGGGCCGGGAGGCAAACGTCCCAGCGAACCGACCTGGCCCACCGGGGGCCAGTCCCGGCTGCGCGGGCTCGGAGGA